TGCGCTCTAGTATATCCTCTTGTTAGCGCCAAATGCATATTTATGCAGCTGATTTCACCCGACAGTATAAAGCCATCGTTTTTCTTCACTCGTGTTACTAAGCACCAAAGAAAAGGTGCCTCTTTCTGGAAAAGTTCAGTTTAGCAATGGGAAGAATTGCAAGCCGCACTTTGTAGAAACGCTGCGGGTCTAACGGGGTGCTTCTGGTAACGATTAGCCGTCGCCTTCTACTGCTTCTAAATCTGTGCCGTGATAGTAGGCTTCTAACTTCACTTCCGCACCATCGGAACGTCAGAACCTAGGATCTTAGAATCCCCAACACTGTCGCGGAGCGCAGTGTAGTTCTCTGACTGGTTCGGCTAATAAGAGGCCTCATCTTTCGTCTTTGATGGCGTATTTTGCACCTTATACAAATGTAGGGAGACTCCAAACTCTAGCTCAATTATTAAGAGTGTGTGAGCCCTGAAAATACTCATCTGGGAGCTGCGTACACTGACCAATGAAGTGCGGTACAGCATGCCTTATTAAATTATCCACAATAACTCGCTTTGAATTGTGAAGATTTGCTACCAGAGGGAAAATTATGGCATTTCTATGTGGGCATACAAGTGCACCACCAGAAATTGCTTTTGTATTGTCGAATATTGCGCATCATACACTTATAACTTCCTTCTCGTAGTTCCTTTTCGTAGTATCTGCAGAAATACAGGAAACATTCGTGAAGCTTGGCGGACCAGTCCAAGGTTTCCAAGGTTTACCATGTTCTCAAGGTTTAAAATAGAGCATAGATTAGAGAACATGGGAACACTTCCCAGGAACGAAGCGTTGTTGATAAAATGGCACTATGGCTTTATGATAAAACATGGACAATCTAGGTGTAATCGCAAGATACAGGGGCATTGTAATGGCAATGCGCAGTTTCGCTAGAGTCACTCTGGTATATGCAATTTTTTTCAGATCCGCAATAGAAAAAATGTCCTTGCATGAGGTTGGTTACGAAAGGAGAATGTACCCAAACAGAAGGGGCCACGGTCTTCACTGCATTGCTGCTAGCCAGTTTCCTGCACAGTTCTCAGTCATGCTTATTTATTCGGGTCACCTAACGATTTGGATACCTCAAAAAATCGACGGAAAAAAGTAAACGCGAAGTGGATGTTTTGACACTGAGGAGTGCGATTTCTGTGGAAATGTTGGCTCAATAGAGGTCCTTTATCAACATGGTAGAAGTCACCCTCTATTTTAGAAAACTAGAGGAGTGCCGAGGGCAGACCACACACCACAAGTGACGACGGAAAGAAAAAAAGAAAGAGAACCCGCCTTTGCTTGGCCGTCGTAACTTGTGGTGTGTGTGGTTTGCACACGACCCTCCCCGAATAGAGGGTGAGTGCTTTGCATTGTTTTGGCATCACCCTTCAACTTTAGCGGCATCACTTCCGATGATCAATTGTGCTCTGAGCGCCAATCAACTGTACAAGGTATGGTTTTGCGCAGCGCTTTTCTTTAAAAGCCAAATACTGTTGCACAATCCATGAAATGGCTAATAGTTCGACAGTGGCCATAGTGTCATGATCAATAATTCACTGCTTTTGAACGAGTGATTTGTCCGACATGGTCCTGCTTAACCACCGCCGGATCGCTGCTTCTTCTCACATAGTAATAAAATGCTGTTTTAAAAGAGGCCTAATGCTGGATGTTATCGTCAACGATACACGCAAGAGTAGAGAGTGGTTGTGAATGCGAACTTCCACCAGAGATGCACAAAGCGGCACGCAGTGGAGACAGTTCTCCTATGTTGCTGGCGGAATTGTTGTACTACAGTGCGCGTCAATTGCATATGCCACCCCCTGATTTTTT